AAACACGTTTAGATTGAATGGTAATTTATAATCAGTCACAAGAACATTGAATCTGAATCACTTGAAAAAAACACGGGGGTGCTTAACTTTTTTCCAGGTGTATATATCCAGATATGTAACATTTATTTATTGAAAAGGGTTAATGGGAAAAATCAGAGAGAATGTTTGAAATTTGTCACTTGCCTATGAAAACAATAGTCGGGAGTTGTTAATCAGGAAGTCAGATATTAACGTGTAGAGTATTTCAATGATCATGCCTTCTTGAACATGGTGACTAATAAAAAAAAATATATACAAATGCAGGTTTTGAGTTAGGCACCACCAGTTGTCAGTTTCTTATAACCTACCATACACACACACATTTTGTTTGATATCCAATGTATCTCTGTCTGTAATTTAACAAATCATAACCTTTTAACATGTTTAAGTAATGTTTTATTCTTTTATCTATAATTTTTCATTTATTTCATACACAGAGAGTGGAAATGGAACTTGATGTACAGTCTTTTTATTTTGCAGCATAATTTTGGTGAATTGTATTGTTTGTAAGGCCATTTGCTTATGACTTATTGGGTATGTTGTTTATACCAACTGCTAGAAGAATTTTGTCCATTGATTTAGCTGTTTACCGCCATCCCCACCCATGTTTTCAACATTATTTGTACCCTGCTAGAGACTGTTTTTGTTCCTTTTCAGTTGTTGCTTGAACAGTTATTGTGTCATTTTTCAAAGCTCTTAATACAATTTGTAGCCGTGGTCACTGTCTGATGTTTTTTTTTACATAGTTTGTTTGAAATATATCTGATGCTAGCCAAAATAATACATGTAGAAGTTCTTAAAATTACTTTTCTTTATCTAAAATGTTTCAATATTACAGGTTATATCGTACGTTCAGCCTTTGGCTTGAGGAACCAAGACTCCACGACCCCAAACTTTGCATTCCAGCTCTTCCCCCTCAATACAACCCTGACTTGTTGAACATTATTTTACAGGATAACCAGGTAAGATACGAGTATCTGATATCACATAGAATGTAATTAAAAGCATCAACAGAACAAGTTTACAGTGTGAGAAGTGGTTTCTTAGTTAGCCCATGTTCAGACTGTTCTCAGCTCTATTTACAATGTTAATGTTAACCCAACATATTGCTAACAGTAAAGGTACCCAACTGACAGATCAATACGTTCTAAACATTATAAGTAAAAATGGAATGTTGAGTTAGCTGTATTTAGTTTTTATTAATGTAAATAGCTTGCTTTGATCAGAATTTAATATTAATTTGGATATTCAAGGTAAGCTTTACTAGATGTATTGTGAAATTGCAATGGTACAAGCTTTTACCTTGAGCAACAAGGGCAAGGGTCACGGGTTCGGATCCCCGTCACACCAAACATGCTTGCCCATTCAGCCGTGGGGCTATTATAATGTGATGGTCAATCCTGCTATTCATTGGTGAAAGAGTAGCCCAAAAGTTGGCGGTGGACGGTGATGATTAGCTGCCTTCCCTCTATTCTTACAATGCTAAATTAGGGATGGGTAGTGTAGATAGCCCTTGTGTAGCTTTGCGCAAAATTCATAATAAACCAAACCAAACTTGAAAACAACATATGCGAAAAGAAACAAATTATGAATCCTAATAACAAATAGGAACACATGGGTAAGCAGTTCTCGTTGTTAAACTCCGCCTGAAAAAGTTGTTTACTTCTCTTTTTCTTATCTTTCATACCTACATAGAATGCGCAGTGTATGGTAAAATAGTTTGTTTTTTAGAATTACAGATTTATTAAGACATTTATAATTTTAACCCTTATTTTTTCACTTAGCATAGTGCTTTTGTTTATACTTATTTAAGCCTAATTAATCAAAACATAAATTTATTTGATTTTTAAAACAACTTGTATGAAACTGCTAAAATAGCCATTTAATATTGAAAAATAATAGCATATAACAAACTTTTACTTCAAAATACTTCTGCTGATTCTACACTAGTGTGTTTTTAAAAAAACAACACTTACTTATATTTATGCTTCATTGTGGGCTAAGATTTTAATATTTGTATTTGAAATATTATAAAACATAACTGTTCATGGAACTGAATAACAACAACAATGTCACTGATAAAATGGTTTACATTTGTCTGGAGGTAACAATTCCAACATAAGTTAACATACTGGGAGTTTATCCTGTTATGATTGTTTCATCTGGCTTGTTTTTCAGGAATCATGGTTGGAGTATATTAACAGGGAAGAAGTCCAGAAAGACATAGATGATTTGAAACTTCTCTGGGAAACAGAGAAGAAGTCTCTTCACTATCAAATTATGTCTAGTGGCAGATCTCATGCTCAGGAAGATGATTCAGGTAGGGGTATTCTGATTTAATATACTCACATAATTATTGTGTATGAATTTATGTTTATATTTTATGCAGCAGTTTACCTGTGTCTGTAATTTAGTATTTTTACATACTTAAGATGAAGATCTGGAATAATGCTCACTTTACTCTTTAGTTTTTGTTTAGGCTTCATAAGTTAGCTGCTAATGAATGAGGTACATAATTTTCCTTTGTTTTTAATGTTTTAATTACAAATTAAGAAACACGGTTCAGAGCTTTTATTTTCATTGAAGGACTTAAAGGATTAGATTTGCATGCCCACATTAAACTTTAATTATGAATTAAATTATATAAACAAATTTACAGTTTGTAGGCCATTGTGTTAGAACAGTAGACCTATGCTGACCACAAAAATGACTTAAGGCTTTTAAAAATTTAGATTTATTAAGAAACTTGATATGAACTATAAAAAGGATGGGAATGATTTGTTGATATATGTTAATTTATCAAATTGAACTAATTATTTCACATACAAAAAATGTTTTGGGATATTGGTTGGGTGGAGATGGCAGCTGAAGCTGGATATGTAAGTTTCAAATTTAACATTTAAAATTAAATCATTTAGGTGATGTATGTATAGCTTATTCAATGCAGCCAGTCAGAAAAGAAATTTTTTACAGTAGCTTCAAACAACTATAGAATAGAAAGATAAAAAATACAAAAACATTGTAATAAAGAAATATTTATATATATGTTGCTTTCGAGAAAAAAAAAGCTAAACATCTGACTTTCACAATTAGATTTAACTGCTTATAATGGCAGAACATTCATAATTCATCTGTCTTTAGACTCACCAAATTTTAGTTTGTTATTCACTTCAGAAATGGATAAGGAACTTGGAGAAATACTAGTAAAATTGAGTAAAATATGATTACTTTCAACAAGTAATTAGGGAAGTGGGTAATCAGGTCTTTCTTGTCTGAGACAAAAGTTTGTGTGTTAGTGTTATGCTTTATTTATTTTATTTTTTTTGACTTGGGAAATTTTCAACGTGCTCTTTTTATTCTCTGTTAGAAAGTTTTAGTAATATTTTATTGTTTAATGTAATATTTCAGAATTTTTTATAATGACTCTAATACTTTGTTAGCCATACTCATTGCTGGTTGGGAAAACTATAAATATACATTTTTTTAATTTAAAAAAATTGAAAAATTTCAAATATTGGGGACTCAGAAAAGACCTTATCACAAAAAAAGATGAGGATGGCAATTTTTATAGTAATGAATGTGGAAATTAACTTTTGAAGTATAATTTGTTTAGCTGCTAAAATATGGACTGAAACTGAATTTTATTAAAAAGGAACCAGTTTTCACTTCAGTAGACATGTGAGGTAAAAATTCTGTTTATTCACATTTTTCTAGCAACAGCCCGTATCTTGAGTCGACTTCGTTCCTATGATGATCCTTTACCCCCACCAATTATTCCTAAATTGAAGCCACCTGTTCCTCAAGTGACAGATGGAATGTTTCAGAATGATGATATACTAGAAACAGCAGTGAAAACTGATCTGAAAATTTTTTGTGACCAGGCTCGGTGAATAAAAGCATTTTACTTTGTTGAACTCATAAAAATTTGTATTTATATTATTTAAGTGAGTTGTTTTAAAATGGATTTGAAAAGATTTTGTTGCACATTGACATATTTAGAATTATACATTGTAGTAAAGCAAAGTAGTCATGAACGCAAACAAAAATACTGTAGACCAAGCTTGGCCCAGTATTTAATGTGCTGAATTATGAATCTGTGAGTCCAGCATTCACGTCCCATTACCATCAAACAAAAATTCACTCCACACTTGGAGATAAAGGTATTATATGGGTTACTGTCAGATCCCATTATTTGGTCAGACAAGAGTAGCCTAAACATTGCCAATAGGTACTGTTGACTAGCTGCTTTTACTTTAATCTGTCATTTCAAAATTAGGAATGGTTAGCATAGGTAGCTCTTGAGTAGCTTTTTGTGAATCTCTGAAAACAAGCAAGAAATGTTACATTATATTTCTGTGTTGAGATATTTTTTTAATGAAAACCTGAAAAATTGTAGTTGTGTCTCAGCTGTGGCTTTTGATAAAAAACTGTTGCAGACTTCTCTGAAAAATGATGAAGGAAAATATGAAATACTATAAAAGTAGGAATAAAAATAATATAACACACACAAGCTCTGGGGATATTAGCAGTTTCTAGCAGAAAGAGCATGTGAAATGTACACCGTTATGTATATTTAAGTCTTTGTGACCATTCAAACAAATTTGGTAAAAAGTATTTGCCAACATTTATAGGTGGAGTTTACTGTAGTATTGTTTTAATGTTTAACATAATGTACTGACATAACTAAGTTTGTAGGATTTTTGTAATGTATAGTCTTCTGTTCTTAGGAATTTTGCTTGTCAAAGCTCCAAATTACTGGCTCTTGACTGTACATATCTTGAGTTGGTTCCTCAGCTATATAGAAATGAGGATGCTGAGGTATGTATACGTAAGCTAAAGTAACATATTATTTAATAGAAGTTTATGCATGAGGAATGTATTTTATTTTAGAATTATCAGTAGTCCTTAACCACCCATTCAAGTTTGTTTAGTAATAACATTTGGACAATCTACTTCTCTAAAACTTCATCAAGGACCTGACGAACATATTCTGTAGGACATAAAATCTTCCTCACCAATCAGTCTTACACACAGGAATAAAGCTTGTTGATTTTTGAGATTTGTTACTTGGATGATAATAACCACAAAATAAATAACTACAGATGTAATTCGAACAATTTTTATTTTCATATAAGCTAGCTCAAGACTGATATACTTCATCCGTCTTTAAGCCTAAGCATTTAGGGTTTGATTCCGAAGATGCATGTTAAGGAGTGGTATACAAGAAACTGCATGTTTTAAGTCCCCTGTCACGAAAACCTGCCCCCTCTAGGCATCGCCCCGAATTTTGAATAATTATGTCCCAGAAGGCAATGATTGGTAGAAATAAACTACTTGACTCTACTATTCAGAATCCTTTTTCAGATTTGAAATCCATGAAGTATGAAAAAAGATACAGCTGTATGTAAATTTTGATGTTCACAAGGGCTAAGTTAATCTGTTTGCATAATTAAATCAATAAGTGAGGTAGAAGATACAGCAATTTCTTCCTGCAAATATGAATGTTCAGCTTCATCTACTACATTTTTGGGAATTGTACTATCACTATCAATCAATACCCTCATTTTAGCTGGAATTAAAGAAAAAAATGCCCTTTTCTTGGAAAAGAAATCTCACGAAATTTATCTCGCCAATTTCCTAGAAGGACTGAATTAATCAGAATCTGATGAGCTTTATCGCCAGACACTTTCCAACTTTTGTTTCTTTTTCCCATTTTGTATAATTCAATTAAGTTTTCCACACACTCCCTGGGCATTTTATCTTTCGTATACCCTGGATAACATGCCCATCCTTCTGATACTGCTTATATCTGCTACTACAGTGGACCAGAAACAGTGCTTGGCTAATAGCTAGTGACTTAGCAGTAATCCTGACTTGATCTTGTTCATTCAACTCAGAATATGTTGGTGTAAATAATGGTGCCGTGGGGGATGTAAATGATAACCTCATTTCAATATTCAGTTAATTTGCTCCACATGCATTAAGCTTGGATGCTACAACAACTTCTGCCTTGGATATATTAGATGAGCAAATGATTTTAGCAGCATTAACCTCCCATTGAACCTCATGTGTGCTTTGGCTTCCAGCTTTTGCTTTGAACTTTTTAGTTAACATTGGACCATTCAACAGATTGGCATCGAGTACTTTTCCAGTAGTGCCTGTGATCCCATCTCTAAATGTTAAGGCCTTGTATATATCCATTTCCATAGTTATGTTGTTTCTGTCTTAATTCAAATTCAAATCTGAAAAGTGGGTATCCAGTCTCCCTCTACCAGTTTGAGACTCCATATAAATCCACTTCTCGACATGGAGAATGTGCCCATCGGTGGAAGACTGCATTCCAACATTGAGATGGTATGTATGTGGGATCAGAGCCTGTGAGGCAAAGAATGTAGCATTGTCACTTTGAAGAATCACTATATGGATATCAAGACAAGAAACCAAGAAATCCAGGAACTACTTCATCGTCACACACACCCCTCTCACCCTCATTGAACCAAACAGTGACATACTCTTTTTACCAAAGTACTCCACTTGACCTTCCCTGTCCTTCATGAGTAACACCTTCTGCTTATGGTCAAGCACAATAAGCATCATTGATGAATCAATCTTCATTTCTTCTTTAATTTTGTTGATCAAATCAAACTGAACTTTTGCTTTAAGCCTATGGGCCATGTACCATAATGTCATATTTTGTAGAATTGGGATGAACATTAACATTGATTCTACTTCCTCATCAGGTACGATGATAACAAAACCTTGTTTAAACGTTGTACATTTGCTGTTATGTTAAACTTATATTAAAGTTTTTCTTCATTACCTATTCAAGCCGTCTCCAGCCATTATACATTTTAGTTATGTATTTCTAATTTTCGAATTTCAGGTTGTTCTGCATGTAGCTTGTGAAGAGCATGGGAAATGTTCTGGTCCAGCTTCCATTAGGATACAGGTGAGATCATATGCATTTACTTTTTTAAAACAAATTTATTTGTATTAATTTTTGATTTCTCAGCATCTTAACTCTCTCACTAGGGGCTTGGTCCCAGGGACTGACCTTATAACATTTTGTGCTTGTTATAGTTTTCATACTATAGCTTTTAATACATTATGTTTATCTTCACAAAATTTGGCAGACTTTTAGTAAACTTTATATGTCATTTGTATACAAAACATTTAAATGAAGTATTTTTACTAAAGATTTGTCCATGTATATATATCAAATCTTTTTTTTTTTTACCAATCTGAGTGCAAATTGAATTTTATATTAAGATTAAAAATATTTTTTCTTTCTCTTAAAAAATCTCAAATTTCATTTGTGTGTAACTTCTAAAACCTCCTAAAACAGTTAATATACAGAGGGAGTCTTTAGCTATTTCTGGCAGACCATAATATAAAAAAATAATGTGATTGGCAGAGTGAAATATGATGTGCATTGGTTAGATAAAGCTTGGGGAATTTTAGATGTCTTTATTACTTTGTTAGGCTTAACTGAGATATTTATCATTTTTACATTTTAGTTACTTTTGTAAAACTATACGTAAAAACAAGAATTAGTAATACTCTTCTTTTTCTTTTTTAACTGGAAGCTGATCTTTAAGCTTCCTGTAGTATCACAAGCTTGAGTGTCCAAGAATTAGTTCATGTAGTTTTCAATTATGCATTTTAAAACACAGAAATATGTTAGATAGTAGAATATAATGTCCTAAAATGCAATTTACTTAACTTACTAAGTATGCTATAAATAGGTTTAAAAAATTCAGTTAGCCATTCATTGCAGCACTACAATCACAATAAGCCAAGAAATTCCTATTGACTGAATACTTTCCCCACAAAAACTGAAAAAACAAAAACAAACATAGTAATCTTCATGTACAGAAGATTCGTCCCTTTCTATTGGCTATAAGCATGCCCATCAGCCATGTAAAGTGTCAGATTTTTTATAGGGCAGCAGATTCTTTACAGTAGGTGTCTGTGACTTGTTGGCGATATATTTCAACAATAAACAGACAGCACACAATCCACTTGTTTTAAAATAATATATATTCAAAACAAGTCAAACATATGTACAAAAATGTGTTACACTATTGTTTACCACAGTTGTATCTAGATCTTTAAATAATTGTCTCTTTTTCATCAAAGTCCACACAGGCTGGTTCAATTAATTTAGAACACTCTTTGACAAGACACATTATTCTCCTCTATTCTGTTATCACAATATAATTAGTGATAAATTCACTTATGTTACTCCATGGGTTACCACGGTTGTATCCAGAACTTTAAATTATTCTCTTATACGTCAAAATTCCACCATAGACTGGTTCAGTTACTTTAGAGTACAATTGAAAAGACAAATTCTTCTTCTCTACTCTGTTTATTGCAATACAATCTGTGATTATAACACTTTAAAAGTCACCACTATACACTTTTTATGGCTAAACTTGCAAACACAGTCAAGATCTAGATCTCTCACTAGCTTTATTTCACTTTCACTAACTTAACTTGTGCTAACTTGGTCACCTATATGTACATTGCCCAACTGAGGCCTAGAACCTTCTACAAACTATAAGATGTTAATATGTAATAATATTCACTTAAAGTAATGAGAACAATACAGAAGGTTTAAACGTGATGTCAATCTGCAACAATTTAACTACACAACAAATTATTCATAAACAGTTACATAAGTAAACTTGCCATAACTATCACTTCTTAAAATAACTTACTTTAATGCTCACACAATATAAACTAAATAATATTATTATTGTATTAAAGTAAAATGAACAGTCATGGATATCTAACATAAAGTTGATTAGCAAACACACTCAGAAGTCAGAGAGAGAGAGGAGAAGCTTCTTTGGTGGGTTTTAAATTTTTTTTGATATCTCAGCAAATCAAGAAGTTAAGAGATACACATTTTAGATTTCTTATAGATATATTATGTATAGTTTAGTGTAAACCATACCAGCTTGTTTTTTAAGTTATATAATTCTGAAGTTGGGAAATTAGAGTTCATACACATCAGTGACACAGAAAAATGAAGACTGAGAATTTTTTAAATATTTCTTTTGAAATTAAGAAGTTAAAACTTAGATAATATAAAAGTTTGAACTATAAACTACATTTTCATGCCAAGGTTATTGACATGCATTGATAATAAAGTTGTTTAATTAAATTTTGAATTTAACACTGTACGGGTTGTGATGTGCGAAAGGGCCACTCCTGTACTCATAGAGATAAACTTAGTATATCATATTTCTCGAGTTCCTAAAATTGTGTACTAAACATCTACATTTCTATTTGTCCTGGTTTTTGCTTCATAATATGAAAATATCTTTTTTAAAATTAACTTTTTATAATTTTAATACACTTTGACCAGACTTTCTGGTTCAGGTTTGTATTTTATTGTACTTATTGCTATGTTTTTAGTGAATAATAGGTAATTAAAAACTTAAGATTAATTTCAGTTAACATAATCAGCCCATGTAAGTTAGTAAGGTTAATTAAATTAAATATCATCTACATGTAATTTTTAATTACCTTCAAATACAACATTAATTTCATTATTTTGCCAATTTGAAGTAATTGTCTTTTTTTTAAGTTCACCTCAGCAGCTTCTTGGACATTCAGGGTAATAATCCTTTCTCAGCAAAAAAAATTTGCTTGAAAATGGCTTTCAAAATTTTACTTCTTTTTTTCTGAGATTTATCAACACTCAGAACAATCTGGAAATGTTACTAGGTTCTTATATATATATATATATATATATAT